CCTTTCCATTTTCATTTCGATTTGGCCTGACTTGGCTGAATTGGATTTTTTCGCGAGCGGGAAAGGGAAAAGAAAAAAGAAAAAAGAAAAGAAATATATACATAATAGAAAGCGAGTAAAAGAGCGGTGATACATTTTCTCTCTCTCTGTGTGTGTGTGTGTGTGTGTGTGTGTGTTGTGTTGTGCCTAGGTTGGGTTTTGTGTGCATGCGTTTTTTTTTTTTTTGTCGAATAGTTTCCTCCCATTTTACTTTACTTTTCTAGTCCATCTTACCCTGCATCTGTAACTACATACTACATAGCTATTATTTAATTAGATTTTTTGACTTGATTCTATTTTATTTGATATTTCTTTTTTCCCCCCTTTTTTCCATTATTTTCTTCCTTGTATTGAACGATGCATATATACATAGTTCTTGGATCCTTGTATCGGGATCAATGATCCAACCGCGGACAGGACAGGGAAAGTTTCAAACAAGGCACAGCAAGACCGGTCAATTGGCGGACAGTAACAGTCAGCCTGGCCCAGTGCTGCGGATTGGATTGCTGGATGGGATTGTATCAGAGCTACCAGGGGCTAGTGCTGGCGATGTGTGAGTTGGCAGACACGCTAAAGGGGATTTGTGAGGAATGCTGGTATTATTGATTGGTAGTTAGTTATATTGCAGAGTAAGTAGTGTGGTCTGGTAGATATGGGCTTGCTCTGTATATTCTACATCTCTATCAAGCGAGAGAGAGAGACCGCGTGGAGAGACAGAGAGAATGATTGATTGATTGGTAGCGGGATATATATATTCTTGTTTCCTAATTTCCTCTTCCAAGGAGGAGAGGAGGTCGTTTTCGGCCAATTTTTTTTTTTTTTTTTGCTGCGCTGGATTAGTTAAGGTTACCCTGTCTTGTTTTTGTGCCTGAAATCAGTTGAACTTAGTTAGAAAACTCAATTCGAAAACTCAATTCAAGCTGGCCTGCTTATTGATGAGAGATATAATAATAATAATAATAATAATAATATAAATATTATATAGAAGACAGAAAAATGGAATATAAGCCAAGGAATCGATGAGGGAAATACTCAATTTGTATCCGGATCAAGGCGTAATTGATCTGATCGATAGAGTATATTTCCGGGCTGTATCGTCATGACGTGTTCCGTACCAGCGCCGGGGCTGGTGCTTGGCGCTGTGCCGTGCTTTTAGCCTTTTTGCGCGGTGTATTTGCGGTGTATTGTATTGCTTGCTGTATTATTGGCGATAGATCTGTTCTGTCTCTCTCTCTCTCTCTGCTGTCGATTTCTTTGATTTCTTCATTTTCAATTTCTCAATTATCATCTTCATATTATCTCTCTCTCTCTTTCTTCCTTCAACCTTCAACTTCGTCGTCTGCTCGTCGTAGTTAGTTGTTGGATGATGCATGGCCCATAACTCTATCCCTGCTGGTTGATATCAACCTCCTCTTCCTCCTCCTCCTCCTCCTCCTCCCTCCCCCTTGTCTGCGCCTTACGCTGTCTTCCTTCCCAAACCCTGTTGTTTCCCCTCTCTTCTCCCCACAAACCATCACCATCCATCCATCATCATCCATCCATCATCATCCATCATCCATCATCCATCATCCATCATCCATCATCCATCATCCATCAATCTCTCTCTCTCAATCTCAATCTCTCTCTCTCAATTACCACTCTCTTATTCCCGCACTCGTTCTCGTCCAATTCGCTCGTCTCGACTTTGCCGCCCGGGTAGGCGCTGTGGTGGTTCGCCGTCTTCAGCTGCTCCAACAGCAAGCCACATCCCCGCTAGTGCAGATCTCGCCTTTCCCACAACCCGATTTCAGTCTCTCTCTCTCTCTCTCTCTCTCTCTGCCTTCTTCTCTCCCCCAACCCAACTCCAACTCCAAACTCCAACTCAACTGCTATCCGATATCCCCCTCCAGCATCGCCCTATCCACCGTTTTTCACGCGTCAAATCCCCATCCCTCTGCCGTTTTGTCTTTGTTGGCCCTGCCGTCGCCCTTTTCGCGATGGCTTCGACGCGTCAACCGCCGCCTTTGCGCATCTACCAGGACTCCGGCCCTCTTCCCCATCCCCATCCCCATCCCCATCCCCATCCCCATCCCCATCCTCAGCCTCATCATCCCCATCAACATCCCCATCAACATCCTCATCCCATTACTACCCCGTCCATGACTCAGCCTCCCAACACTCAATCTGCATCTTCGAATCTTCCTCATCAACCGAACCGCCTGCAGCCCTCTCCCATGCCGCTACAGCCCATGAGAAACGCATCCATTAACAAGAATCTTGCTCTTACTCCCACTACGAATGGCCAATCCAACGTCTCCCCCGTGAAACCCCAACGGCGTCCCAGCATGTCTGCTCCGGGCGCCAACCACCACCACCACCACCACCATCGCGACAAACTGAGCTTTGTTCCGATTTCTGCACCTCATCCTGTCGCTTTCACTACAGATTCGCCAACTAAGCATTCCCGGGCCAACGGTTCGACTTATTCCCAGAGCGCTCCTCCCCCAATTGCCCAGCATGCTCTCTTTACCACTTTTTCCAGCATTCCAACAACGGACCACTCCCATGGATCCAGGGCGCATTCCATCAGCGCACAGCACGAAAAGAAATTATCCAACACCCCGGCTTTCCACCAACGTCCATCTGCCTATGCAGGTCCCACCCCAGCTAAACGAACGTTAATGGAACCCGCACCGCTGTCGAAAGACCGCCCGTCAAAGAAACCCAAGCGCGAAGAACTATCATTCGTTCAATTACCTGATCCCAGGGACATGCCTCGAATCGAGGATGATGGCGCAAAGCCTCCTTATAGCTATGCCATCCTTATCGGAATGGCTATTCTTCGCGCCCCAAATCGGCGTCTGACTCTTGCCCAGATCTACAAGTGGATCTCAGATACTTTTGCCTTCTACCGTGCTGGCGACTCGGGCTGGCAGAACAGCATTCGTCATAATCTGAGCTTGAACAAGGCCTTCATCAAACAGGAACGCCCAAAGGATGACCCTGGGAAAGGAAATTATTGGGCTATTGAGCCTGGCATGGAAGCCCAATTTTTAAGGGATAAGCCCGCGCGCCGAAACCTGGTCGCGGCGCTTTCTCAGCCCACCCCACGCCCAGAGCCGCGCATTGAATTGCAACCTCGCCTCTATCCTACGCCCATTGCTGCTAACCGCGCAACTACTACCACTACAGCCACTCCTGATGCTATCAATATCACCGCTGCTAATACTACTAATACTACTACTACTACTACTACCACCACCACCACTACCAACAACTCTACCAACACTTCGGCTCCTGCCTCCAACCATTCTGCAACCGCAACTATCACTAATTCATCTTACATGCTACCTCCCACCGGTCAACCATCCAACAGGGCTGTTAATATAGACCTGTCTTCCGATGCGACTTTACCTGCCTCTGACCCTGCGCTCCAGGAGGACAGTGGGGATGAAGTTGAACGCCTTGCCATGCACCATTCAACCCGATTACCACTCTCTTCCCCTCCACCAATCCATTCTTCCCCTCCCATCGCGCCTTCTGTCTTTCATCGTCAGGCAACCCCTCCAACTCCATCCCGTCCACTGACAGGTTCGGCTGCTATTCCACTTTCAAGAAAACGCAGCTCTGCCGCGATGAATGATTCTGGTTATTATTCCTCGCTCGAATCTTCTGCCATGCGACCACACAAGGCTGGCCACATCTTAACCTCAGATTTAGATATCGAACCTCCCCGTATTAAGCGAGGTCGTGCCGAGGAGGAAATTGCGCGCATCCGCAGCTCTTCGCATGACATTAGCCCGTTACGTATTGGTACATTAAAGGACACAACTCAGTTGATTGGATCTTCACCTCTCCGACATGGATATAACAACATGCTTCCTCCCCCTATTACCCCCGCGATTAAATTCAAGAAACCAACCAAACCCCCACCTTCTCTCTCTCCAAACACAAACCTACAAAACCACCGCAAGAAAATCCAACAAATGGTGAATTCTCCAATCAAGCAGTACGGCCTGACAGATGACATTCTACCCTGGAGCCCGGCCTTTAACATCCAGGATGACGCCTTCCTCTCAAATGACAATCTCAACATCCCGTTTGACATATTTGCTGAGCAGTTCCCGACCACAATTTCCACACCTTCCCATGGCTCCCCAGAAAAACGCTCAGCGAGACGTCCACGTTTTGATCGAAGCAGCAACATGCTCGCAGATATCACTGACCTCCATGGCAATAATCGACTGAATACCCCCACGCTCAAGTCATCCAAAGTGAGGGGACTAAAGTACCACGAGTCACCATCTAAGAAACCAAATACTCCCCAGTTCAACGATGTCTCCCAGGATGACCTGTTCTCATTCAACCTCTTTAGTGAGGATACGGCAGAGGTTGACGGAATCGATCTCTTGCAAGGATTTGAGAAAATCGGCCAGTCAGGCAAGGATGACTATTCTCCCAAGCAACTTCTTCAGAATCGGTCATATTTTGGATCCAGGAGCATCAATAACAATAACCCGCGATTCTAAAATAAAACACGACCGTTTCTGCGAGAAATCAACTTGTAGGATTCCGCTTTTGAAACGAAATTCTTCTCCGCGTTTGGATGGAGTATTGGAATCAATTCTCATCATCGCTTTTTTGACTGTTTCGCCCTCTTGGTTTTTTGTTATACCTCTCCATTTTGGTATTTTGCTTCCTTTTCCCACCGCTCGGTTTGGGTTCTTGGAGACAAACCGCCATAATTAAATTTTTCTACTGCATCCCTTTTTTGTTTTTTTGTTTTTGTTTTTGGATTCCATGACCACATCAAATATGGTGCTTGGGTATGGCTTCCGTTATTTATCTTCTTCGACAGCTACGGCTACAGTTTCTCATGAGTTTGTTTCTGGGCGGTCTCTTAGTTTCTTCCTGCAAGCGTGTTTGTTTCGTGTTATCTGCATCGTCCCTTGGCATTTTTTCATTTTTTTTCCCCAATTCGTACGGTTTACCTTTTTGCGGCTCTTATTTTTTTTTTCCCCGCCATTCTTCTCTGCTCTAATGTCTGTGCATATCCATTTCAGGCGGGTGTTCATGTTTAATCTTTTATGTGGCTAATCTCTCTTCTTTTTTTTCCCTGATAATATCTTTTACTGCTCTTGGTGTTTTGAGTGTTTATTTTAACTCTCTGTGTTTCTGGGTTTTCCCTTCCTACCCTGTCGTTTTATCTGTTTTCTTTTTCTTCTCATTCGTTCGTCTTTTTGCTGGTCAGGTACAGCCGGTTTCGCGAAGGGAGAGGATAACAGGAACGGGAACTGGAAAGGGATAGATAGGGTAAGGAAGGCACCCAAAAAAAATGGATGGGAACGAGGCGTGCGTGGGGTTTTACTTTCTATTTTTTTGTTGTGTTTTATTATGGGACGGTGACGACAACACGACGCTCATGATACTATGATATGTATGTTTTTTTGTCTTTTTTTTTTTTTTTGTTTTTAATTAATGTATGTATGCATGTGCACAACGGGCTTATGGGATTATGACTGATGGGCTTGCGAGGGCTTTTTTTGTTTTGTCTTTTTTTTCATTTTCAGTTTATACACTTGCATACAACAGGACGCTTTAAGCAGTTTTATGAACTTTGCTTCTTTTCTTGCTTTCAATTTTTCCTCCGTTTTTTATTTACTTTTTCCTCGGTAGAGGTGGATGGATGGATGTTAGATACAGTGGTTAGATCGTATCATACTTATTACATATCTTATAGTTATTCTAAATTCTTTCATTTATGTTAGTTACTTCACGGTGTTTCTGCTCTCGTTTTTGATTATGTATTATTCGTGGGTATAATATAGTATGATCTCTTCATACATAACCTTTCACATCGACATTTCACATCGACATGGTCATATCTATCCTAAGCTGAGTGCGGACGGAGTATGTAGCTCCTTAAACGTCTGACAACACACACACACACAAACACACACACATACACACGCCCATATATAACGTATCCAACCTACAGATCTCCACGAGTTACCGACGCGATAACTAGGACCAGCTTCTTCGTAGAAGGAGAGATAGTACCTAAGAGAAAAGAGAAAACGTGTCAAAAGAAGCAGGACCCATAAGGAAATAAAATGGCCAAAGAAACGTGGACAAAAAATACCCAGATCATGGACAATGAAAAATGAAAAATGAAATTCAAAATAAACAAAAACAAAACCACTCTCCTCAAACGCCCCTGCCCGCCCGTATCGACGCCGCCTTGCTTGCTTGTCTTCCCTTTCCCTCTCCGTCTCCCTCCCCTGGCGCTGGACGGGGGGAGGGGAAGGGTTTTATTCAACCAACACGATTCGTAGTTCATCCCGAGCTTGGGTTTTGGATTTTGTACGACCGCCCTCTGCATGCTCGTTGGTAATTGTTCCCCCACTCTCTTTAAAGAAAGAAAAAAAACTCATCCCGGGCGTCCTCACAAGCGGCGCTCCGCCATCCCATCCCCTATCCTATCCCTATCCCAAAATAAATAAAAAATTACCCTCATGAGACGTGTCCCCATGTCCGTTCTAAAAACAAAATCCTCTCCCCTAATGTTGCCTAGCGATATACCCAAGGAAAATGAAAACAGGGGAACAAAAAGAGCCAACAACCAGGCTTTCGGCATCGCATGTGGCATTCCGCGAGGTTGGGATGCTTAAGATTGTTTCCCACTTCTGTATAATCCCCGTAGCAATACCTTTCATCATAGGTAGACTGGTTCATTTCCGTAGCAACCCCACGTCGAACGGGAGGAGGGAAAAAATCGAGGGGCCGGATCCGACGGCTGGGGAAGAGACACACTACCCGCTTCACATAGGGGGCTAGCTAGGTTTAGGAGACGAGGGGGTGGGGGCGGGACGGTCGGAAACGCAACTAACTACAAGTGATCTAACAGCGGCCCCATGCATGTATATATATGTATACCGGATTGCTCGCGTATCCGTTAAAGGAAGAAGAACACCCAAAGAGCCCAAAACTCCGCATTACACATTATGCCCACCCCATTCCCCGCTACCCTAATCGCTACTGCTGCAACCGCGACAACCACAGCTGACGCACTGGATGCTCTGGTCTTCTTTGAGCTGGGCTTTCGGCACGCGGCAGATGCACGTGGCGTTGAAATTTGTTTCTTTGGTCTGGATGCAGCGGAGGCAGCAGAGCTATATGGATTGAATGAAATATCACCGTCAGTTTAGGCGCGATGGGAGAAGGAAGAAGAAAGAGAGAGGAAGGGGTTTGAGTATGTTGTGTGTGTGTGTGTGTGTGTGTATGGAGACGTTGTGGACGCACCTTTTCATAACCCTGCTTCTTCCATTTTGCAATAAGCAAGGCGTCCGCGTAGTTATTTTTCAGCAGCCAGTCATACAGCTGTTTGGAGATGGCTTCTTTTTCGTAGTAGAGGTCGTAGATGTAGCGGGATCCTGTGGAGAAATCACTATTCAGTTTTATATCATATAGTTAATCTTATATTGTATATACATACGTGCATGGCTAATCTGAAATATCGGCCAGAGGACTTCATGTCTCTTCTTACCCTCATGCGAGGCATTTTCTGCATCCTTCATCTTATTGCTGAACTCGAGCAGCGTGTCCTCGATATCGTCAAAGCCATCTGGAGGGGGCTTGCGGGTCCTAGAGCTGCGGATGGGAGGCATTGTGACAGGTGTTTTATGTGTTGTGTGAGAGAGAGAAGTTAGTCGAGGTGGCTGTCTGTTCCCTTTATGAAGAGAGAGGAGAGTTTGGTAGTGGAACGAGGGGATGTGGCGAGTGTAATCCTCGTATGGTTTGTTCTCTTGTTTTTGATATGGATGTTGGAAGGCTGAAGGCAGCGATGAGGTAAATCGGCCTTTCTGCCGCCTGTCACCGCCTCCAGATCTTTTCCGCAACGTCCGTCAAAGGAATCGAAGCCAGGTTCAAAAAAGGCATAAATTAACTACTTATCTATAAGTACGTCTCTCCCCGCAAAGCCTTTCCCGGACATTAATACCGCTTTCTACATCCAATTCCTTGGAACAAGTATACACTTTTTGCGAAACCGGAATAGAAAGGCATATCATCCACCCATCCGCACACATACAAAATGGACGGCCAAATCGATGTCGGCAAGCTCAACGAGGCGGATAAAAGAGAAGTTCAACAATTCGTCACACTCGAGGCGCAGAAGGCAAATTTCCAGTCAAGTAAATATATGATATCCCGTTACCTTTCTTTTCAATCCCACCACTCTCTTTCCCCAGCTTTTTAAGGACCCATGCATTGTCTGAAAAAAGTAATGCGGAGGAACCGGGTTTCACGCCTTCATCCTTCCTCCCTGAACGCGTCTTTCAAAATAATATACGTATACGTGTACTAACAATGCTTCCCATCGTTTTAAATTAAACCAGGCGTACACCAACTCACCGACATGTGCTGGAAGAAATGTGTCACGGGCAAAATCTCCTCGGGAAATCTGGACCGCAGCGAGGAATCCTGCGCGCAGAACTGCGTTGACCGATGGATTGACGCCAGCACTGCAGTTTTCAAGCATCTGGACAAGTTGAGAGGGCACTAGATGAATGTGTTCATTGTTGCTGGCGCTGTCGTTGCTGTTTATCGGTGGGAGTTTATACCAGTTGAGCTGGGCTACGGAATTAATCGACTACAATACCCCAGGCTGAAAAAAGACGGCGGCTCCGTCGTCTCTGGGGGGATTCTTATATGAATGGGATTTTTATATTGGAATGGGATTTTTATATTGGAATGTGATCGCGCAGGGGATGCCGGCATGGAGGGCCGCTGTTGGAGGTCGATATGAGTTTTCTTCCATTTTTGTATTGTACGATAAATAGGCATGGATGGGCATCAATTGGTTTATGATAAATTATATTTAGTCCTGGTGTCGACACATGTATTAAATAATTGTCGAAATGTCAATGTCAATGCGTTTCTGGCACAATCGGTTTACACAGGCGAAAAAAACCACCGGCACTACGTAGCAAGCAGCGACAGGGTATTTACCCCGATCTGACCTAGCATGAACTTCTCACTGATAGTTTTGAATGCAAAAGGCGAATAACAGAAAAAAGACATGGGTTTCATTCACATCTCAATGACTGGAGAATTTCAGAAGCCACTGAGTAATATTTTATTATAAAAAAAAGGAAATTTCACCTGCAACATTCCGTAAACTGAAACAGAAGAGAGAAACAAAGAAGACCCCGCTTTAAACAATCGCCAACTTCGTCGCCGCAATGTCAAGGGCGTCGACATCAGCGGTTAATCTCGCAAACGCCTTTTTCGAGCCATCGGGTCTGTACACACAAAATGACACTCATTAGCCAACGGCCTACCGCCCTACCAAACACGCCTGGGAAATGTCTTCAAACTTTAGCCATCCACATACCTGATGAGGGTGTTGATCTTAACAGTGTCGACATCATAAAGCGTCTTGAGCGCCTGCTTGATCTGTCTCTTGTTGGCCTTGATATCAACAATGAAGACAAGGGTGTTGTTCTCCTCGATTTTCTTCATGGCGCTCTCGGTGTTTAGGGGGTGGATGATGATTCTGTGGTGGTCGAGGCGGGTTTCATGAGGAATGGACTTGCGCGGGTACTTGGGCGACCGCGAAAGCTGGAGGGTCTTTGGTCGGTGGAAGGTGGTCGATGTCCGGGCCTTGCGGACTTTGTGCGAATGAACCTGTTGCAACGGGAAGTCTCAGTACAGTGCTCCAATGCTCTATATTCTATTTTCTTTTTCTGTCAATCCTTCGTTTACGGTAGAGTCGGCTCGGATCGCGCATCTGTATCATGGGGGGAAAAAGGAATGGATATGTTTTCTCAAACGTACACCTTTAAGCACCGCCTTCGCAGCGGCACCAGCTTTGGCGCTGGGCTTTGCGGCTATATTGTTCGAACAAAAAAACGTCAGCATATCTCGTTTCTCAGAAATAACAATGATCCCAACGAATTTCCATGTTTCTCTCCCCTCGCGCCCTGGTCATCAATCGCTTTTCATCCATCGATCAAGGTAGACATCCAATTGTTCCTCCCCATCACCCAAAATCCCAAAACCAAAACCCCACACAGAATAGAAGCAGCGCAGATGAAGGCGAATCTCACCTTTCTTGTTATCGGACTTGGGTGCCATGGCTGTCGATTGGCGGCGTTAGTTGGTTATTGTCGTCGTCGTCGCTGTCAGTTCCGTCAAGGGAATCTTTCGTCTGTTGTTTGGACTCTCGCTTAGTTTGAAAACCCTACGAATCTGTGCGTCACGTGGCTATGATCCGCGCTTAGCCCAAAGCGGGCATCGACAACCTCAAAATATTTGAACCAACAACTCCACAGTATTTCTATCATTCGCAACAAGCATCAAACGCTCGCTTTGCTGCTTGCGCAGCCTTCTCTACCACTTCCACTCTCTACCCCTACCCCCCTCCTTCCACTCCTTCCACCCCTTCCACCCCTTCCACTCCTTCCACCCCTTCCACTCCTTCCACCCCTTCCACTCCTTCCACCCCCTCTACCACCACCACCACCACCTCTACTGCCCCTACCACCCTCTTCCACCCCGTATCACCCCTATCACCCCTATCACCATTATCAGATTAATCAGAGCCGTACAGACCGCAGAGCCGGCTGCGCAATCCCATTAAAGGGGTGCACATGACATCACATAAGGTCATGTTACATACAGGGCATTTTGCATGGAAAAGTTGGTTTGAAATGAACAGCACATGCCATGAACACAGAGATCAAAAATGAATGTAGAGAAGAGTATAAGGAACTTATGATAAATACTGTAGAGAACATATGAAAAGAGCAGAATGAAAAAAAGAATGAAGATTTGAAGATTGATCTGAGCTGCACAGGCCGGAGAGCGGAGCCAGGTGTTCAAACAGATAGATTTGATGAGATGCACATGATGTCATGTTACAGCATTTTTTGCATGGAAAAGTTGGTTTTTCTATAATAAAGAGAGAGATTAAGGAAATTCGAGGCGCTATTTAGCAGGAGAAGAGGGGAGAGAAGTAGTACGGCACATTACTTCCTACTTCCACAATGTCACATCCATAGCGATTTTCTTTTGCGCCACGTCTCAACCACCTACCTACAAGGACTTGATCATGTCGTCACCCTGTCACCCTTCACAAGTTCAACAATACCTCTATAGTCTGTAAGATGGGAGTGTGGCCACTCAGAGCATTCCTTTTTTTTTTTGTCGCTGTTTTAAGCTCAATTCTGTCCACATGATGTGAAACCTACATACTCAAGAGACAGTGATAGTCACAATGTCATAGCTACAAGCTATCAATGCTCAGTTTCATTATAGAATGATAATACTCTACTTCTCATAATATAGAAATTTGATATCTTTCATTTCTTTGAAGTATTTCTTTCATTCACTCTCAGTGGTACTGTCTCTACTGTTTTTATATATATTTATTGCCTTGTCTTGAAAGGGATAGAATTGTCTATAGTTGGCTAACTGACCGTTCCCACCGCTGACCGGTCAGGTCAGTGGTCAGACTGGAGTTCAGCAAATATGAAGAGCTTCCGCTCAACGCACTTTCGCGGATAAAATAGGACATAAGCGATATGCCTCAACCATGTAAACGACATCTGGGGTTGGATGGAGTTGGAAGCACGGAGGTTTATGCTGCCTTTCAAGGGCATTCTTTCAGCATCTTTAGTTTTTATAGAGCTCGACCTTGCTTGCTGGTGATATTTCCTGCCATCATTAACTTGCTGGGGACGCCGAGCCGTGCAAGAATTTGCGGAATTTTTCACCGAATAAACCAGATTCTAAAAAAAATCATGTGGTAAATTGAATTTGCGCACGGCTTCACTCATCTAACCCCTCCAATTGCACTTGTGCTCAAAGAGAGCCCGATCCAAGTGCTCACTGATGTGCTGTGCTGCATGATTCAATGGACTGAGACAACAGTTAGCACCACTTTCCAATTTAGCGTCAGCTAGGATCTCTCAAATTGCGCTAAGGAGCATGATGATGCGATAGCTCTGATAGAAACTGAATAGTAGATGTGTTATATTGAATAATAAGTATCGCTTATATTGGCCATCTCAATGCATACTGTTATTTTACACTACTTGTTTCTTTTTCTAGCTGCCTCGGACAGCTCAAAACAAGGGATAAAAGCTGTTAGCATCCCAGCGCCATCTATATTTTGCTTCCCCCAGATAGTTTTGATTCATGATGGGCTCTAGAGTTGCACAGGCGTCTCAACGCCGTGACAAAATATTTGCTGGATAGTTCATCTCCAGTTCATGGCCGAATTTACCTCAGAAAGCGGTTGGAAACGTCTACTCACTACCCGAATTCCTTTATCCCACATGCTTGGTGTTGAAGTTACAGGAATCGGTTTACATTTTCTGCGGCAATAAGTTACCGGAAATACATATAGCCGGTGATCAAACCTAGATTGGCCATCAGAAGAAGGCGGGGCCAGTAAACATGAGTTGGCATTTGCGAGATTGAAGCAACGATTTCCCTCACCAAACATCAGCTGCCCTGCAGTAGCGAGACTTCAGTGACTGTGCTAGAACAGCACATGAATATATATATATTTATTGATAGGAATTTTCCTCACAACTCTTCATACCAACTGTGACTCACTAGAGATAGCTTTCAAAGCAAATTCACTCTGCTGGACTTCCAAGTCTTTGCAACAATGACTGATAAAACATCTATCTTTGATCACTTGGGTGACAGGTGGAGGCAGCCCTTGACCAAGGATGTGCGACCAATTTCAAGTGTCATCCTAGATTTGCAGATGATAGAATATTTATTATAGAATGTCCGCGACTTCCTCAACCTGAATGCTTGAGAGTGGTATCATGACATTCCATACTGACAAAGCTATCTGTTCCATGGGGCTCCAGGAACAGGAAAGACAAGCTTGACCTTATTCATCACAGAGTGTTTTGGTTTGGATATCTATGCAATCAATCTTTCCAGTATTGACAATAATGGCCTGAGGAACTTGTTCATCAACCTTTCTAATCACTGTGTTATTCTTTTGGAAGATGTGGAGATTGTCAATTCAAGCTTGCCTGAGGGAATGGCTTCTCTGACCACACTACTTGATGTTGTCAATGGTGTAGGAGATGGCCAAGTGTTAATCATGACAACCTGTCATATTGAAGTAGTTGACAGCGCACTTTTGCAAGCTGGTTGTGTGGATGTGAAAAATCAGTTCCACCTCACAGATAAAGAAACAATAGCTCGGCTCTTCTGGCTTGCCTTTGGACAGGAAGCAGTTGACCCACTAGCACATGAGTTTGCTGGCAAGGTACCGGAGCTGGAATTCAGCCTGGCTGAAATTCTGTCATTCCTGATAGAGAACAGGCGATCTCCTAAACAGGCTGTTGATAATGTAGCGGCATGGATGGCGGATATGAGAAGCGAAAGGAAGAAGGGTGGAGTTTAAAAATGCTGGCTGGTCCTCCTGCCACACACTTTGACCAACTGGAGAAGTTTTTCCTTCAATGAGACAGTAACTTCCAATGCTAGTCTCCTTGAATTTATGGCATCGGGGGGTTCAATGGGATGGGGTCCCCAAAAACTAGCGAGCGGTATTTACATTTTACATGGTAGGATGACGCGAATCTCGAATATGTATCAACCACCGAATAGTCAATCTTTTAGCTGCATCTTCCAGGATCTATATGAACTGCCAGAGTGTATGAGATGCTGCGTGGACAGTCCGTTGACGCACAATTTTAAAATCGATGCAGAACGATTACGTAAATCCATCCCACCTCTGACCAACAGCAGAGCAAGCCCGGGAGGGAGAAGCGTGGGTAGTCATCCAGTGGTTGAAAGCAAGGAGCCAAGCGCCTGACAGGTGAACGAAACACTGCCCCAATATGCTAATCATGGTCCAGATTAAATGCCGAAGTGTGAAGGGTGAGGACAAGTTAACGGAGACAACCTAGCGCTTTGCGTGCTTAAAAAAGTAGGTTATATCACGTGATTGTCGTAGTAGCACCTATTATTCAGGACTTGTCTCGCTGCTTGGCTTCCAGCGACCAAGGATTGGCCATCAGCAGCAATAATCTCCGGATAAGCACCTGGGATCCTGTGCAAAAGTTAATTATAAGAACCTCTGCCCCCTTCTGACCTCGATGCATACTCGCATGATAAATGAGCCAAAAAATTATGATTATGACCATATGCCTAGTTCAGTGACCTCCAACCCGCCTCACAAGCATAAGCCCCATCCATCCAACAGGTCACGATTTCGGAAAAGGCAGAAGCTTGATACATCAGCATCAGCATATTGGGATAACCTGTCAAAGATTTGGTTAACCAAAGATGCATTAGAGGAGTTGGATCGAAGAAACAGCCACCTGAAACCACCCCAGAACCTTCATCGACCTATCACTCAATGTTTTCACACTGAGCTGAAGAAGAAGCACTGTAATCCTTTTCAGTTTGCTCCAACCTTTCTCCATGATTGTGCACCCACTTGTTCAAAGCAGATAAAGAGGGTTTCCAGATCGGGAGGACCTGATCTAACTGACCTTAGAAATGTATGTAACTACAAGTCCGTATAAATACATCATTGCTGATAATATTGCACAGTATCCAAAACCTGAAAGCTTCCTTGAAAAAGCAATGAGCTCAAGGTCCCGGAGTAGAAAGCGACGCGCAGGTTCTCCTCCATCAGCAAGCACAGATACAAGGGGTACCACCAAGTCCACAAGCACCACACCCTATAATCGTAACTTCCAGCAGAATCTAATTGATCATGGTGTTTACCCTGATGGATATGAATATCCAGATGGTCGAATACCAGTAATGCCAAATAACTGGGAGGAGATCAATGAAACACTAGCTCGACCCCGATCCTCCCTTTCCCCATCAAAGTTCTCTGATGAGCATTTCCGGAAATTCAAACGAGCAGATACCCACGCATCTAAAGAGCAACCAGTCACAACATCAGTGATTCCTATCATTGAAGGTGATGTTGATGATCCCAAATGCACCGGAGGGGGATACCTGCTTGGAAATCTTGCCCCCTTAACTGATGGCACTCTGGCTCAGGCCAAGCCAGATCACTTCTATGGTGCGCGTCCTGAACAGCTCAATCACCGAATCCGCAATGAACTCTGCAATTATATCATCCCATCAACACAGGATGATCTTCCGATGGTACCAAATTTCTTTTTGGAAGCAAAAGGGCCCGATGGATCCTTGGCTGTAGATACACGGCAAGCCTGTTATGATGGTGCTCTAGGAGCTCGAGGCATGCACACTCTCCAGTCATACCAACAAGACAGATCAACTTACGACAACAGTGCTTACACTCTTACATCAACTTATCATGGCGGTCAACTCAAGCTATACACAACTCATCTCACTGAGCCTGAAGGCCCAGGCCATCGCCCTGAATATATTATGACCCAACTCAATACTTGGGGCATGACTGGGAACTTGGAAACGTTTCGGCAAGGAGCATGTGCATATCGAAATGCTCGGGATTGGGCAAAGGAAAAGAGGGATGGATTTATCAGGTTGGCAAATGAGAGATGTCCGGATGCCAAGTCCCAACAACATTGTGCGTCTCAGCGAGAGACGGCTACGGATGAAGCTGTCACCTTAGACGATTCTGATGTATCAACGGTGTTTGATGAAGGTGCCCATCAGGATGTGCAATGGAGCTTTACGACTCCAGTTGAAGATGCGGATGAAGAGTCTTCGATTCTGAGCAGAATGCCCAAAAAGCCCAGACTCAATGCTAGTGTTTCTTTTGGTGGTACGGTGGATAGGATTACAAGTCATCCAAACTGAGAATGATGTACGCTCCACACCTCGTCAGCGGTGGCAGGCATGACATCCCCAGCCCTAAACTCCCAACCAACGCGATTCCCCCCCGTTTGATATTATTAATTGATTGGCAAAATGAGCAAGCATCATCGTCGTCATTGCTGTTGCCTTCGCGATCGTACATACAAGTCCGCCATGACCTATTACCAGCGTTTCTCTATTTACTTCGTTCGTCGAAAGCACAAAGAAGCTCGCCAAACTACTCTTCAATGCGGACTATCAGCTCAATGAAACTGATGATGACACAGCTCATTTTGTTCCAAATTGTTGTAGTAGCCTCAGTCTGCTCAGAGGATGTTGTACAGTTTGGTTGTAACAGTCCTATAAATCTCACTAGCTTAAACTTCCTGAGCCCTTAATATATCTACAAGATGACAATTCACTTTTTGCATTGTAAGAAGATACCTTAAAACAGCCTAATGACAAAGCTTTGACACATTTTTCAAGTTCATAGAGGATCATACAAATTACTCAACTTGAATCTCTTCCTGCTTCGGCACCTGCCCATAGGCCACTTCAACTTACACATTTTAAACCGCCAGGCCAAACATCAACCCTGTTCTTTTTCTTAGTTCCATCCTGTTTTTCGGGCGTGTGTGTTGCTTCGTGAATAAAGTTTTTTAATCTGTCTGTGACATATCCATGACTAGTGATATGCGTCGAGTTGCTCAGCATCTTTGAAGCAGATGGTAAGATGGAGACCCTTTGAATCTTTCTGGTATGTGGCAAGTATAGAGGTTGTATTGTGAATATCCGACCTAGTACCTATTAGTATATTCCCGTGGGCAAAGGTTTAGATGAGCCATACCGGATGAGAACAGCTTTTGGGTGAAGATGAAGATCATTTGCAGTCTAATATGCCAAAGCCATCAATTGAGGGAGCCGTGGAGTAGGGATGGTGCCCACGATGTAGAACTTGACTAGGTTGGCCATTCTCTCTTGGGGCGTAGAGTATAAAATTTCCAGAAGACGCTTCTTCTATTCACATTCATAGGAGAGACGTCTATTGGAGGTGAAATATTCTTGAAACAGATCTATGAAGAAGTAAAAGGAGGGGTAACATGGACATGCTCAATCCGGGTCGGCGCTAGAACATTGTTAGGGGTAAGGCTGAGCCAAGCAATGTTAGAGGCATCCTCCTCCCCTATATTGCAAGTAAAATTCCATTTGAAAAAATTCTGTTTCACAGTCATTGATAGGAGCGAGATTTTGAACTATTGTGAAAGACTTGATGTTTGTCTCCAGACACACTAGCAAGCACACCAAGAGGAAAATGATAAAATGAGTTGTTAGCTGAGGGAATTCGCAAGGCAGCCCACGTAATTCTTTTCTCAATCACAATTTTTTTAATCCACAAGGCGAACCGATTATGGAACAAGGGAAGCCTCGAATAGTGGTAGATTGAAGAATGGTCAACTTCCGCCTCCTTCTCACAATGCAAGTTTTGAAATAAAAGATGAATAAACATAGAGATAAAATAATAAACACAGAATAAATAGTCATCACCTAAGCTACTTGACACGTAATGGGTTATATTGAAGAGACGAAGGACGTACTTTGCCCTATGCTATGATTGCTGTTATCACTAATCCATTCTGGGTTAGTGTGCTTATTGACGGTCGAGGAGTCGATAAACGCGAAGATCAATTTGTCTGTTGGATCACGCCAGCTGTTGGCTTCTCTCCGACAATGTCACCCACTCCCACTCTATGGCCGACCATTACGAAATGATCCCCTTCAATTCGTGTCTTTTACACTTTACATGGAGATGTCACTTCCCATTGTTAGGAAGATTAGTAACATTGGTACCCTCAAAGCATCTCTCACAAGAGAAATGCGCACCCACTATTCTAAAAACATTTCACACCTCACGCCCTCGACGCAAGATGGACAAAAGCCCTGCAGCTTCTGAGACTGCCCCTGAGTACAAATACATTGAGGATTGTGAACGGTTAGAGAGGTACTGTCCAGGCAGCTTTTACCTGTTAAAGCTTGGTGATTGACTCTGTGATGGATGTTACTCTATTGTTCAGAACCTCGGATTTGGCAGCAGCTCTACAGTATGGCTGGCTTCTGACCAGAAGCAACAGGAGTTAGTTGCTATCAAAATAAAATCCGCTGATTCTGCCTCAAAGTCTCAGAAAGTAGATATTCTAAAACATCTTCATCTGCACCCATTGATCAGACAGCTGCTGGACAATTTCATTGAAATTAGTCCCAATGGAGCTCACAATTGCCTGGTCATGGAAATGACTAGTTGTAGCTTGATGCAATCAAAGTCCTTGGCCTTTCACAGACTACTGAATCTTCGTATCACGCGAGCTATTGCTGCAGACCTGGTGTTAGCCATCCAGTTTTTACACAGACAAAACATTATCCACGGTGGTGAGTAGATAATCATTCCAGATATACACAGTGTCTAATCAATCCTACAGATATACATTGCGGTAATATCTTTCTTCAACTTCCCACTGATGTTCGCCGAATGATAGACCCTTCGCAACTGTATCAGAAATTTGGCAATCCAATTCTTGAGCCTATTGTCCGAGTTGATGGCAACCCTCTCCCAGCAGGAGTTCCTACTCACATCATTGAGCCTGCAAGAGTTGGAATTCAGTCTGATCAAATCACCCCTACCTATTTGCCCATCATGCTCTCCGATTTTGGTTCGAGTTACTATCCTAGTAAAACAAGACGGACTAACGCATATACACTCCCCCATCTTGTTCCACCCGAAGTCTTCTTTCTTGACAAACAAAATAACAAATATAACCTTTCATTCCCCAGTGAAATTTGGACCCTTGGATGTACCATATTTGAAATCATTGGTAGTGGGGGCCCCTTTAGTACCTTAGATGATGGCATACTCCAGGACCAAGTCAGTGTTCTGGGAAAGCTCCCTGATCCATGGTGGTCACAATGGGAGTCCAGAGCCGATTTTTTTAATGAGGATGCAACTATTGATATCACAACTGATGCTCCTTTCCAAGATAGCCTGAAAGAACAGTATGATTGGTTTGTTAATGCAGCTCAGCAGTGATCAGACATGGAAGAGCAGAGAGAGGATGAGAAGAAGGCTTTCCTGCATATGATTTGGATGATGCTTCAATATTTACCAAGTGACAGGGCTACCATTCAGGATGTTGTTGAGTCTGAGTGGATGCAAAAATGGGCATTTCCTGCAAAGCAGGAAATTAAGTAAAAAGTCAGAAATAACAATGTTCAAATCACTACCAAATTGTGGGTAGATCTAGTGAGGGCAAAGATGATGAGAGTCACTCAAAAGATATGTTCTGATGCTACATTATGTTTACAATGCTGTTCATTGAGTTGCATTAAATTAATATGTTACAGCATTACTGTTAACCAATAACTACATATTCTCAATTCACTCAAGATTAAGCAAATTCCTGATCTTTGTTGCTCTCCTTCAGAATTCAGCAGGCCCCTTTGGCATTGCCTCCCATGTCCTGAAGAATGACCTAGGAAGATTCTCTTAGATCTACCACTGTCTCATGGAAATTGTCTCAAGACAATACAGGTCACAAGATTCGCGACCTGTCTCAATGGGCAATTTATGCTATCAACTGTCTTAGAAGCGTCCTTCTAGGTCGCAAGTAGGCCTGAGACTATCTGCCTGTGCTATACGGCCAGGTACTTCTGTTAGTTATCAATGGGGCTTTGGAGGCTACCAACTTGGTTTCATATGTTCATTTACTCATTCAAATTGAGCTCCTGCATTTACAGTTAAGTGTTTTATGTTCCTGCTTGCAGCAGAAAAGAGTCTGACAATGGAGACTTCATTGTAATTTACAACAAACTAAAAAATGCTCTGTATAACTATAAATTGAATCTGAGCGGCGCAATTCTTTTGGTAGCGCCCTCCGTATCCATATGGATAAGTTGCGCGGCACGTGATTAGGGTAACTTAGGTGGGTGTAGTAATCACCAACAAATGGGCTTAAAACAGCGTCGAAAAATGGGATGCTCTGAGTGGCTTGCACCCCCATCTTACAGACTATACTAATAAGATGACAATAACCAGCGTCCGCCGCAGGCCCAAGCCCAAGACCAAAGGAAAAACCCCCGGCTCCCTCTCTCATGGCCGCCCACCGACCGCCACCAGCAAACCCGCTGCGTCCCTCTCCGCCAAAGCAACACGCACCCTCATCCGCGCCCACCACCAGCTCCACAAAGCCCGTGCCCGCGCCCTCGCTGAGAACAACGAAGCGCTCGTGCACGACCTGGACAGGCAGATCGCGGCACATGGCGGGCTCGAGGGCTACCAGCTAGCCAGCAAGAAGGGCCAGTCGAAGGAGCGGGGCGGTGATTCCAGCAAAGTGCTTGTGGACTGGTTGGCGCCTGTGTTTGAGAAGCTGCACCTGCAGCGGCGGAAACTGCAGAAGGAACAGGGCGGCGGTGATAAAGAAGAGGGTTATGATGGAAACGGTGACGCAAAAGTCGAAAGGCGAGAGGAGAAACCACAACCAAAACCAAAACCACGACCACGACCGTGCGCGCAAATACGGTTACTCGAAGTCGGCGCGCTGAGTACCTCCAACGCCTGCTCGCGCGTCGGCTTGCTGGATGTCACGCGGATTGACCTGCATTCACAGGAGAAGGGCATCCTGCAGCAGGATTTCATGGAGCGCCCATTGCCCGCATGCGAGGAGGAAAAGTTCCATATCATCAGCCTATCGCTGGTGTTGAACTATGTCTCGGATCCGGCGGGGAGGGGGGAGATGCTACGGCGGACAACGGCGTTTTTGACGCCGCCGCCGCCGCTACTGCAGCCGTTTACCGGGACGGTAGGGGATGCGGCATCAGGAGACGTTTCGGATACACAGCCTAGTAGCAGCACATATTTACCGTGTTTATTTCTCGTCCTGCCCGCGGCGTGCGTGCTGAATTCCCGGTATTTTACCGAGGGACGGCTGCGGACTATCATGGCGAGCTTGGGGTATAAGATGGTGCAGAGGAAGGTGACGTCGAAGCTTATATATTACCTTTGGGAATATAACGTTGCTAATGCAACTACTACTGCTGCCGCTGCTGTTTTTAAGAAGGAGATGCTGAACCCCGGTGGGAATAGGAATAATTTTACTGTTACTCTAGGTTAGGTTCTTTAAGATATGGAAAGGGCACATCGCCTCACAGCTAGCCACAAGCTTTCAATTATAGACGCTTGTGTATACAATCAATAGTTTGCACATAGACAATTGACAGGAAGTTTGTTCCATCTTGATTGCTCATATGCCATTCATAACTCGTATAACCTTAAGGGTTAGTCGATCATCCCAATCAGGAAGACCGCCATCAGATATTCCCCTATATCTCTCCACAAAAAAAAAAAAAAAAAAGAAAAAAAAGAAAAAGAAAAAAAAAACGAACTCAACTCAACCCAATCCTCTCCCTCGGAATGAACGCCCACACCGTCCCTACAACCGCCATAACCGAACAAACGCCCAACAACACCCAATCCACCACCCTCTCCCAAAACGGAATACTGCTCCCGAATATCCTGAGATAAAACGCCACCGGCAGGATGATGCAGATGGTGATGCACAGACTCGCGCCGATGAATGCCATGATGCGGTCGAAGTAGGGGAAGACGATGGCGGTGAAGGTTATTATGCAGATTGTTAGGATGCGGGCGATGGATTGGACGGCTGTGCGGAGGAAGGGGCTAGGTGAGTGGGTGTGGGTGTGGGTGTGGGTGTGGGTGTGGGTGTGGGATTTGGGATTTGGGATTTTGCTTGTTTTTGTGGTGGCGGTGGGATGGCGGGGGTGGGTGGAGGCCGCAGAGGGATTCAGCGGTGCTTACTAGGGGGCGGCAGCTGGGGGTTTGGGAATTCTCGTGGTTAACTTGTTTGTTGTCCCGGTAAGATGGATAGGGGGAAGTAAGTACTTACCTAAGAGGTACTTTGGTCAATGGGATGATTGCGATGAAAGCCACGATACAGACTGATAGCCAGTTGGGGTATCCGGCTGTTCGGAGAATGTTGGATGTGATTTCGTCTCTGACATTAGGGCCAAACATGAGCCAGCCAGCAACGGCCATGGCTAGGTCTAACAGAAACTATACAAAGGCAGATAGATTTAGCCTAATGTTGCAAGTAGTGCAGGCGGTGGATAGGTAGAGGACTAACCGTGAAGATATAGGTTACCCAAAGACTCACACCGTACTTATGCGGGTGTCTCATGTCTTTATAGATGTTTGGAAAGACGCTGTGGCCGCCCCAGGGAGCTGGAAGCATATGGAATGTTTAGTACACGAGGTCAAGGAATTATCCCATAGCCGGTTTCTGTATGGAGAGACTTACACATGATTAGTCCAAATGAAAGTGGAACAGCGCTCCAGTTTTCAGGAAGAAGTGATGTCCGCGCAGGATCACGAAGGGAGCCTGGTGACTCTGGTTTGATGATGCCATCAACAAAAATAATCAGAACAACTTTTTCATTGATTGATTTGTTAGCCATGCTCCAAAAATTAGAGTGTAGGAGAGTAGTTAAGGGGAGGGAGGGCTTTGCGGTGCCCCTCAATAAAACTTACTAGAAGTACAGCAAAAAATCCCCAAAATACTCGACAGGCTTAGCAGCCGCAAGGGCACAAAATTCATCGGAATTAAAATCGCACCACATATCAGTTTCCATCGGAGTGCGCCTAGGCCCGGAACCAACGCATCAATACTATCAGCAAACAACACAACCAAAGCAACACATGCGCCCATTAGTTCCAAGCAGAAGAGTAAGCTGGTGACGATACGGGCCTGGGGACCAAAGCTGATATACGCCAGGTCCGCATACGTAACGAGGGTGGGATCGTCCACGCACTTGGCAAGGATTTTGGCCGTGTATGCGGTAGCCACTGCGGAGAAGATGAGGAGCGGGATGCCGATAAGCCAGCCCGCATACATGAGGCCCAGTGGCAAGCTAAGCAGGCCGATTCCGATAAGGACGTTGACGGAGTTGAAAATTGTCTGCGGGACGGTGGATTGGCCGACGATGATGGCTTCCTTGGAGCCGTCTTCGTGCTGGATGCGCTTGACGATGAAGGGTTCGCGTTCGGAATCCGTATCCGCTGCGGCATCTGCCTCGATAAACTGGTGTTCCCTATGTAGCTGTGCTGCGTGCAGCCTGGTAGATTCGCTTATTCTAGACGTCACCGTCGTTCCATACGAGGGTTCGTAACTTCGTCCCAGTAGCGGTGTGGTGCGCGGGGATATATCGAACTCGGCATCTACAGTTCCGTAGTCGAGTAAATATTCTGCCTCACCGAAGGGGGTTTCCAACCCTCGTTCACCGGGGCCAGAACGTCGGCGCAGAAGGGCCCTGGTTTCGTCTATGGATAGCCTATGGCCATGTTCCTCGTCATCTGGCAGGGCGAGGACGAACGAGGATCTCCGGGGAGCGACTTCTGGGAAATGAGCTGCCCGCTGCCACGAACGAGCAAAATTATCGAAGCTATTAGGCGCTGCGGAAGATGTATTATGCCTTGTGGATATCTCCGACGCCCTACAGAGAGCAGTTAGCAAGTGGAGTTATATGAGAACTTGGGCAAACCGGGAGGAGATGTTTTGAAGGGGGAATTAATATGTAAACATATACCATCGTCTTCGTAGATCATTATCATCAGTTTCACGCTGTGCGATGTTCCGAGGCGTCGAAGATGAGGATGTTGATGGTTCAGGTCCTGCCATTGTAGAATATCGAATTGTGCTGGACCGCGCTGTATTGCTTGTTTACCTGTAGCTGCTCATACGACTAGATATTCGCGCAAGATACTAGAAAAATGAAATATACACGGGCTATAGTGCAATACCGAGAGAGGGGGTATCTTGCTTCAAGGACAAGAAAAAAAATAAAATAATAATAAACAAAACTTCCCTGGTACAGAGAGAAAGTAAATTTACAGGAACAGATGGATATCAAAAACCGCATAAAAGAAATTGGAGATATATAAATATATTTATCTATAAACGGGTCGGGTCGGTGGGAAGACAAATCGCGCGAACCACGGGTGGCGACAAACTGTGAAAATTTTTTATATTGAGATACGAACCACGCTTTTTTTCTTTTTATTTTTTTTATTTTTTTTCCGGGCTAGAACTGGAATGCAATATATGTAATATCTTGAATAGCAGGTTGTTTTGGTCCCTGTATCTCATAATAAGGGGGTTGAGATGATTTCATTGCGACTTGACTTTGCGATGGCTGGAATATATCATTTGCGGAGACACAGAAAAAAAGACCATGGCTGAGGTCGCAAAGTAGAGTTCAGGCAACACGCCTTAACATTTTTCGATTGATATATTGAGTGTAGATATGTATAACATGTATGGAGTGGAGGAATCACGTTTGCTGCCAAGATGCAGACAGGAGAAAATACGTCATCGTTGGTTGTTTTTATGCATTCCCAGAACGGTGAAAATCCTACGTAGTATGTACTGTACATTGTAGGAGTTATGTCTCACTCAACAGGTACTCCATTGACAAGAAGATATTGTTCAAGTTTATATGCCCAGGAACGAACAGGAAAAGGAACCCATGAAAATCAGGCAAGGAGTAAAAACCAAATGAAAAAGATATGAAAAAGATGAGGCAAAAAGAAATCCTCAAAAAGCCCCCACCCCCCCCCCCCAATCAACTTATCAACCATTACATATAAATCAAGTATATATACTACACAATGCTACAGAAATTATAGATATGTTAAAACCCCCCTACTCAATCATCTCCACAACCACCGCCGTCCCATACGCACACACCTGCGCAAACCCGCCTAGATCACTCGTATCAAACCGCAGCGCGATAATCGCATTCCCGCCCTTCTGCAAACACTCGCCCACCATGCGCGCCACAGCTTCGTTGCGCGCCCGGTACAGCATCGTCGTGAACATGCCCAGCTCGCCGCCCGCGATGGATTTGAGCACCATGCCCAGCCCCGCCGCCAAGTTGCGCGATTGCACCGTCAGCCCGTACACGGCGCCTAGCACGCGGGTTACCCGGTAGCCCGGGAGGTCGTTCATGGTGGTCGTGATCACGCCGTCTGTGTCAGTGAAGGCGCCGTGGATTTCGAGGCCCTGGATACTGTCTTGGGCGGGGATGGCGGATTTGGCTTTGGATTCTGATGCCATGGGGGGCGGTATAGAAATATATAGGTAAGTATGTAGCTGTGTAGCTCTGTGTTTGCTCTCGAATCTGATAGTGCTTTTTTTGAGGTGAGGAAGAAAGCAGGAGAGGAAAGGTTGAATTTATAGATTTTCAAGGATATTATTGTGAAGAATTCGCTTCTTATGCTTTTGGGAGGTGTATGTACATGTATATGTACTTTGAATGTGTTTGGTATATTTGTTACTTTTGAATCATCTCAACGTCCTGTGCTCCGATTTATATACCTCGAGGACCAGCAGCAAGCCTTATCCCTCGCGTTTTGCTGCTAGCTCGATGTAGGATAAACCTCGTATTCCGGCCGATTTCCACGGTTGGGTGTGGCCATTTGTTCGATGGTGATCAGCCTAACTATTTATTGTCCTCTGTACGGAGTAGATCGCCGTGTTGGAAGAGGCACACCGACATGCGTCTTGGATCGTGTCCTGTCTCTGCATATAAGTGTTTAATTAACGTATTCCATGGCAGAAACGTGAGCAAATTTGACCACTGGTAACCACCGTGTTTTTCTGCTTCTCTTCTATGCTTTGGCATGTAATCTGCAATTGGGTGTGTGAGATAGCCGTTATCATAGCGACAGTATATTTTTTGGACTGTAAAATCAGCCACACTCGGAAACGGGACGTAGAGGAAGACAAAAGAATGGATAGATTCGCCATGCCATCGAGTAAATTGCACCAAATATCTCCAGCTCATTATTATTTGTCTGCGGAGTTGTTCCGTCTTGCGGCGGTGCTTATGTCATCGCCCGCCAGCCAACCTCGTCCCCCACAATCGGCTGCAGAAATTGTTCAACCTCCGCCAACTGCAACGACAAGTCGACCGGCTGAAAGGTGAGTGCTTCTACCCGTCTAAAGTCTAAAGTCTAAACCCTCTCTCTATATCCGTCTCTCGTCTCTTCTCGGTGTATATATCGCAGAATTCGGTTGCTAACCAGCCTGTTCTTTCAAGTGTGCTCCTTATATCACTCCTACCCCCCCGGCGGTCGCACATCCAAGGTCGCCCACCATGAGCGTGGCTCAGGCGAACGACGCGGAGAAGAACATCGAGATATGGAAGGTCAAGAAGCTGATCAAACGCCTCGAGGCGGCTCGTGGAAATGGAACGTCCATGATCTCCTTGATTATCCGTGAGCCTTCACTTTTCTTGACCACCCCTCCAACCCAACCACCAGCCCCCAAGCGTTCTGACTATGTGTTTTTTGAACTTCGGACTGACTCAACATGTTTTCTGCCTGAATAGCGCCTAAGGACCAGGTCTCACGAGCAGCTAAGATGTTGGCGGAAGAGTTTGTATGTCACGCTTTCCTCCCGAGGTGGCCAGTTTCGTCTTAAATTCTTTTTTTTTTTTTTCCCTCCTATAGAGATGGAATGTAAAGAATTACGTATTAATATTCACTCCCCCCCCAGGGTACCGCTTCCAACATCAAATCTCGAGTTAACCGCCTGTCCGTCCTGTCGGCTATTACCTCCACCCAACAGCGTCTCAAGCTCTACACAAAAGTCCCTCCAAACGGACTCGTTATCTACTGTGGTGAAATTATCACCTCCGAGGGAAAGGAGCGGAAGATTAACATCGACTTTGAGCCTTTCAAGCCCATCAATACGTCCCTCTACCTTTGTGACAACAAGTTTCACACCGAAGCCCTCAGCGAACTCCTCGAGTCAGACCAGAAGTTCGGATTCATCATCATGGATGGTAACGGCGCTCTCTTCGGAACCCTAAGCGGAAACACCAGAGACGTAGTCCACAAGTTCTCCGTTGCTCTCCCCAAGAAGCACGGTCGTGGTGGTCAGTCTGCTTTGCGTTTCGCCCGTCTTCGAGAGGAAAAGCGTCACAACTATGTCCGTAAAGTTGCCGAACTGGCAGTGCAGAATTTCATCACCAATGACAAAGTTAACGTTGCCGGTATCATCCTTGCTGGATCCGCCGATTTCAAGAACGACCTCAACCAGTCCGACATGTTTGATAACCGCCTTCAATCCAAGGTTATCAAGGTCGTTGATGTTTCCTACGGTGGTGAGAACGGCTTCAACCAAGCCATTGAACTTGCCTCTGAGACTCTTGGCAACGTCAAATTCATTCAGGAGAAGAAACTTATCGGCAAATACTTCGAGGAAATCAGCCAGGATAGCGGCAGAGTCTGTTACGGTGTGGACGATACTCTTAAAGCTTTGGAACTAGGTGCTGCAGAAACGTTGATCGTTTACGAAAACTTGGATGTTACCCGCTGGGTTCTCAAGGCCAGCACCGGCGAAGAAGTTATTCTCCACACCACCAAGGCCCAGGAGGCTAACCGGGAGATGTTTATGGATAAGGAAACCGGGCAGGAAATGGAAATTGAGGACCAAAGCTCGTTCCTTGAATGGCTGGCTGAGCATTACAAAGATTTTGGAGCAACCCTGGAGTTTGTTTCCGATCGGTCCAGCGAAGGAAACCAGTTCGTCAAGGGCTTTGGTGGTATCGGAGCTATTCTCCGCTACAAAGTCAACTTTGAGCAGTTGGCTGATTACGAATCCGAGGACGAGTTCTACGACGGTATGTACATCTATATCTGCAAAACCCCCATTTTCCCCGCTCCTGTTTCAGTTCTAGGTATATTCAGATGCTAATCTTACTTGCATCCTACAGATTGACGGTTTTGCGACCTCGCGGAGAGCGAGGATGATTGCCCAGAAATCCCTTCGGAGGATGTTCTGACGGCTCGTCCCTTGAATTCAGCTAACAATGACATTCAAGGAGGTTCCCGGACAGCCGCCACACGGGCTCTATGTCCGTCTGCCCAATCCAGCACGAAGCTTCTCAGAGGTACTGCAAACTTTCTTTTTACGTCGTGCATTTTTGGAAACATCTAATTAAATTCTTGGTGTTTTATTATAGGGCCATCCAAGCTCCGTAATGTGGCTATGAGCAATTAAAGAGAAAAAGAAACACAGGCTTTCCAACTTCTTCTTATATAACAAGAGAAGTCCTCTTTTAGATACGAAAACCCTGGCTGGATTACTGAGCGACAAAAGAGGCGGCCAAATCGGAAGGAGGCGAGAGGCGTGTTCGATTTTTTTTTCCACTTTTCAGAGAGTTTGTATCTTTTTTTGTCCCAAATACAGCCGATAACATAACGTGCTCCTTTCTCCCTCTCCTGCAAGGCTCTGTAACACAGCGAGAGATCTTTTTAGAAAGGGGCAGTGACCAAGAAATATTATTTATCGGTTTTTTCCCAGACTGCGTGTTTCTCTATAATTATGATTTATTATTATCATTATCATTACGCCCTCTTTAAGGTTTTTTAGTATTTTTTATATTTTCATTTTTAAATTTCTGTTCTCGCGACTACATCTTTACGCGTTAACCTATATTTTATCTATTAGATAGACTTTATTTTATCTACTTTCGTTCTGCACAGCCGGCATCCTCATTCTCGCTTTAGAAACGCGTGCAGGCTGACTGATATGTTCTTTCTATATATAGACTTCGGGAAAGGAAGAGAAAAAGACCTCCTCTTCAACAATATAACAACGTTCCAGCTTTCGGGAGGAGGAATTTAGCGGGTTCATCTTTCATTTTCATCATTTTCATTCCTCTTTTAATGACTCCATTGTGGTGTGGGATGAGATTATCAACCTCAACCATTCACCAGCCACCACCCGCAGCAAGTTCTTACTCAGGCTCTTCTCTAAGACACATGATAAAGGAGAAGAAGCTACCCTATCTATAAACAAACACATAACAAATCGTTCACTCATTCAATGAATATCTCCCAAAAAAAAAAAAAAAAAAAAAAAAAAAAAATGAGAGAGAGAGAGAGAGAGAGAGAGAAAGAAATAAAAAGATAAGAAAGAAAAAGAAAAGTAAATAACGCAACAACCCCCCTCCCACCCCCAGCCCCTCTATACCCCAACACTTAACCCAACCGACCCCCCCAACTCCCCAAATCCCTACAACAGCTCGTCTTCCCCTCCAACTCCTCCATCGCCTTCTCCACCACATCCTCCTCATGCACGCCGCGCACGCGCTCACACTCCACGAAGAAGATATACTGCCAGGGCCTGATCTGGCCCGGGCGCGAGACGATGCTGGTGAGGTTCAGGCCGTGGCGGCGGAAGATGGTGAGGGCGTCGACGAGGGCGCCGGGGGTCTCGTGGTTGATCATGAAAGAGATGAGGGATTTTAGTTTGGTGGGTGGTGCTGCTGTTGTTGTTGTTGTATCTGTACTTGAGGTAGCAGTGGCGGTGGGATAGAAATCGCCCCCCTCTCCCTCCCCCTCCCTAGTCCTCTCGCTGTTCCGATTCCGCAAGACGAGGAAGCGCGTCGTGTTATCGGCGCGGTCTTCGATGTTTGCTGCTAGGATGGAGAGGTTGTGGTGCGTGGCGGCGAAGGAGCTGGCGATCGCGGCTGGGATGCCTTCGCTGTCGTTGCCGGTTGCGTTGTCACCACCACCGTTACCACCAGTACCAGGAGTAGGAGTAGGGATAGGGGCAGTGGTGCTACCGTATTTCGCGACGATGCTGGCCGCTCTGGAGGTTGAGGGGGTGTCTTTTCTCTCGATGCCGCGGAAGTGTTTTGAGAGGAAGACTTCGCACTGGCCCCAGGCTTGGGGGTGGGTATACAGTTTTGAGATGCGCGGGTAGATGGTTTCGGGATCTATTTTTGTGTGTATATATAAAGATTGTTAGGATGATTCTTTGCGTGGTATAAACTATATATATATATATATATGCGATATGTTCTATGTACCTGAAGCCGCATCCTCGTTACGGACAAGCAGACAGTGGTGGACGGTTAGATAGTACTCGCCGCACACGACGATGTCATGGTAACGGCCATCGCGGTCGGCCAGGAGGTCGAGCGTCTGCACGACGGAGCCATTTGTGGAGTTCTCAAAAGGGATGACGGCATAGTCTGCCTCGGTGGATTGGATGGCGGCAAAGGCGTCGGCGAAGGAGGGTTTAGGGAGCAGAGTGACGGTTCTCGTTGTAGAGGTGGTCGTAGTGGTGGATGTGGGGAAGAGGTCCAGGGCTGCCTGCTCGATGGGATTTCAATTGATTCAAATCCTCCTTAGTTATCTACTTCTCAAGGGGTGTAGAATAGAAACTTGCGAAATCGAAATGGAATTTGGGTAATGACAAAGAAAAAGCATATCAAAACGGCTGTATTTCTTGCTGACCTGATGCGAGAATGAAGCCAGCGGGCCGAGGAATGTGACCCGTAGCTCCTTGTGGGGAGACGCGGACATGGCGCAGTGTTGTAGTTTGTCCCCGTTGATAGAGTGTTGTCCGCTTAATGTGCCTTTTGAATGAAACAATACCGGTATCAATTGGAAATTGCAGAGTCTTCTTCCGTAGTTGGTGAAAATAGTTACCCCGCTACGCATATCTTGGAGCGCATGGTGGATGTGGTTATTATTTAAATATCTCAAATATTTAAACGATAGCATCGGAGAAAATCAAAACTCCTCAACAACAATAACTAGTTAATAATTAGCAACCACAACTCCGATGATTGAAAACTATAGCTAGCACCTAGTAGCCAGAGCTATCTCAAGACTGCTGGCTAGTCCAATTGTCACCAATTCCGACAAACCATGTTGGCCAGTCCGTGTAAGCGGCCATCTATCTCTGCACTGCTACCGCGCATCATACACTCCCAATCCCGCCGCACCCTCTCCTCCTCCGCCCTCCGCACACAGCTAGACCAACTACCCCAACGCCGCCTCCCGCTCTTCTACGACTATCTCACCCCACAGCAATCACATCTCCTCAATCTCTCCCTCACGGGCTTTGTCCCTACCACAGCAACCGCTAACAATGCCCAACTACCACCAACAAGCGCGACTACTACAACATCTACCCTCCCATCCTCAGCCCTGAACCCCCCGCCTATGCCTGCCGGTCACCACCTAGTCTACTTCCCACCGCAGGTCCCCACCTCCCAGCTCCTACCTGATGGCACGGATATATTACATTACCCAGGCCCGCCATTTAACCGGCGGATGTGGGCCGGGGGCTGGGTGCGGTGGCGGTCCAACAACAACAACAATAATAATATTAATAATAATAATAATAATGTTAATGATCATAATGCCGCAAAGGCTCCAGGACACAAACCGCTGCTACTAGATGGGCAACGTGCTGTGTGCATGGAAGGGATTAGAGATGTGTCTGTGAAGGGCAGGGAAGGGGAGGAGAAGGTGTTTGTGAGTGTTGAGAGGCGGGTTGCCGTTGTTGGAGAGGGGGAGGATGAGGCGGTGATTAAGAGGAGAGTGTGGACGGAGGATGAAGGGGAGTGGGGAGATGCGGTTGTGGTTGAGCGGAGGAATTTGGTATTTATGAGGGATAGGGACGGGGTTGTGGACGGGGCTGGAAAGGACGGGGGGTTTAGGAAGGTTGTTAAGGGTTCGTCTGGAGGACTTCTTCTTCATCATCTTTCTTTTCCCTCTTCGACCATGGGCTAACAAAGATTCAACAGCGCCAACAAACCCAGACTTCAGCCATCTTCTCATCCCGTCACGGTCCCTTCTATTCCGCTTTTCAGCCCTCACTTTCAACGCGCACTCCATCCACCTGGATCCCAGCTACGCACGAGATGTCGAGGGGTACCCGGACGTACTAGTCCACGGCCCGCTTACTCTCACTCTAATACTTACGGCATTCCAGAACCACATATCTGACATCTCCGCTGGACAGGCGGTAATTGGGAGCATTGAGTATCGGAATCTGGCACCGTTGTTCGTGGAGCGGGAGATGAGGATATGTGCTAAGCAGAAAGGTAACGGGGGGAGTGCTGGCGCTGGACCATGGGATATATGGGTTGAGGGGCCTGAAGGGGGATTGACAGTTAAGGGAACTGTGCATGTACTATAACAATGCAGAACTGATGAAGGAAATTGGGGTTGAAGAACAGCATAACCTCATAGAGGCATTCTCAAGTTGGTCCAAAGGTTGCAACAATCCCAGGATCAATTTGGACTTTTATTATAACTAATGATACGTAGCTGTCTCACCTCCATCGCATTGGGCGCCATCACGCGACACAATAGGGACCGCATTGCGGGGGCTTCTGGGGGATTACTTCTTGGAGAACCTGGTTCCTCTCCCCTTGGGTCTTCCACAGCCAGTTTTACCAGAGGAACCTCAGCCTGACTCACTCGGTGAATGCTGGCAGACCGACGCGCTGAGTAGGCCCACACACCTACGGGTAACCAACAAAGCGCCCTGGGCAGCTAAAAAGGGATGAGCAGACGCTAGATTGTGAAAGGTGTGACTAACCCGGAGGAACCAGGCGAGACAGTTTTATATTGAAGGTTGCCCGCAAAATGCCCAAGAGGCGTTTTCCACGGGAAGCCGAATCGAAGGCAAATTCAAGCTCCCAGAGACGGCCGTGGGAAAGTTAAATGTGAGAAGTCGTCCCTGTCTCCCGAATATACATAGTAGGACACAAATGTATGTTCCGATTGGATGTGAGCATAAGTAAAGTAAGCTGACCCTCGCTCTATGTTAGCTTCCCACAAAGCTGAAATGGCGGACGGTGTTATATGTGATGGCCTTGGTCATATTTGCTGAATTAATAATGGGCTATCTGGGGGTGAAATGGCGGTAAATTTTGTTCACGTAAGTAGGAGATCAGAGCTGGTCGAGTAGGCTCAACAAACAGTCGTTACGTGCTGATGGGACTACATCGTTGATAGTTGAATAGGGCAAATGGAAGTACCAGTTAACCTGTCAAGTAGCTAGATACCTTTCGGTTCTACAAATAACTTATTTAATAATAACCTGGAAGATTCTTCGCAGGATGTCGTGGCCGGTAATTAACTTGATGTCACGGAAAGATGCCGGGAATTTAGGGCTCCACAGATCACGGGATGCTAGGCAGCTTCTGCGGCGAAACAATTCACCGGCGACGCTTACCAAACCTAGCTAGCTCAGTTGCAGCGAGAGCAAAACTATTTAAACTCGTAGAGGACACAACTCCCTCCAAAAAGATTCTTTCCCTTCAATTTCTTTTCTCTGCTCACGACAATGTGAATGTGAACGGAACCTGCATTTCTGACATTTTAACACCACACTTAGAAGATGGATGTTTTCTGGAGTGCACCGCCTGTGATTAGGTAAAGGAACCCACCCCCCAAGAACCTACCTTTCTCGGCGCTCGCGGCTCGCGTTTTGTATACAATAATACTGATGGCTCCTCCCATACACATAGGACGATCACTGCGGCCGCATTTATTGAGTCTCTGCTCGTTTATGGCGGTCTTCTCAGTCCAGTTAGGATCTTTTACCACCATTCCTTTATTTTCAAGATCTTTCCCGAGGTCTGGAGACTAGTCACCTCATTTCTTCTGACAGACTCGGACCTGAACTTTATCTTCGATCTTTACTTTAGTAGGGTCTCTTGTTTTGGTTTTGATTCACTTTGCGCCATGAGAGGCGACAATGCTTGTTTTCATGGTGGAAACGGAAAAAGAAAAAAAATGCGGCCTCGACGCCCACTATCCTCACTAACAACTTTACTCTACGTCAACAGTGTATAAATATGGCAGCGGTCTGGAAAGAGACTCGCCACGCTTTTCTATCCCTGGCGACTTTTTCACTTATGTTGTTTTCGTAGGCACAGTGATTCTGGTAAGTACCTTCTGTTTGCCTGGTTTCACTTTTACTTCTCTTATCTTTCCATGCCCTCCGCATATCTGCCCGCCCAGCCAATTCTAGCTGAAGCGGTTCCTGGTCGTGAGGAAGATTACCCCTACATCTCGTGCAGACCAATCATTCGCAATCAATCCTTTTATGGACTGTATGCGGTGTAGGCATGGTGGGATTATCTGATGCGTAACCAGCTAGAATATTTCTGTTTCTCGCATGGTGGTTGTGGGTTCCTACATTTCCCTCTTGAAATTAATCCTTTTATTTCGTATCCTTATATAAACTTATCAGCGTCTTTCTTGTGTCTTCATTTATGTTCTATACACTGTTATTTCTACACCTCTCGTGATATTACTAGTACTTTAAGAATATAGAAGAGAGGCTGACCGGCCCGAATAGTTTACTGCAGGTGGCCTCGTAGGCGCCGGGATTTTCACTCAAGGTACGAGTTTGGAAGAACACCAACCTATGCATATGAGAATGATTGTACTCTATAAACACTTAAAAAAGAAGTAATCTTCGAATCTAACCCCGCCCTATCAACCCAGCCCTAATAATCGCCTTCATGTACACCCACGGCCAAGCCAACGCCGGCAAAAAGGAAAACTTTTATGTCGTCCAAATCCCCGTCGAGATGCTCCCCTGGGCCACCCTGGCCCTTAGATTGGTGATTAGGGGCCCGCATGCAGCATGGACAGCAGCATGCGGTCTCGTAGCCGCTCATCTGTACGAGTTCCTCACCCGCATCTACCCCACCTATGGCCGTGGAAGACAGTTTATATGGACGCCCGTGTTTGTGAAGAGATGGTTTGGGGCCCATCACATTAACCAGACTCATCGCGCGTACGGTGTGGCATACCACCCTGGTGATAGGGAGACACGGGAGGCGGCGAAGGCGTCCGGGTCGGGGAGTGGTTGGTTCTCTAGCGATTCTTGGAGTGGGAGGGGTGTCGGCCGGAGACTTGGGTGATATTTTATTTTACTGTGTCCATCTTGCTTTTAATTTGCAGCATTTATAGAACGAGATACACGGATGATTGAAGGTTTAAGGATATATATGGTTACTCACTGGAATTGCAATTATTATGAGCATGCGTAACGTGCGATATGAATTGATCCCATTTCTTCCATCATTCGCATTCGTCCTGCGAAGTCAAACTGTATCCATGGATTGAATATTTCATCACGTGATATAATCCAACAATTTCCACGCTAAATCACTTTTGTGCGCCAGAGCTTTTCCTTCGCCCAAAAAAATAAAAATCGACTTACTTTGGACGCACTGCAAAATTGGCTGGGCAAACCCGATACAAGAGTCGACTTCTCTCCACCTGAGCAAGAGTAGACCGTCGGGACTACGTCTATTATCAACCTTTTTGTCTGCAATCCGGTTTTGGTCAAATCTTTGCAATCAATTCCAAAATGACCACAGACGCAGGAAAAATGGACGTCGACTTCGCCATCAAGCCCGAGGCCGTTACGCCCGCCATCCCGACATCAGAGTGGCCGTTGTTGTTGAAGAACTATGATAAACGTATGTCCCTTGTGTCTATAAATATGAAATATATACATACTCAATATTTTCTTTCCCCCTCGGGCATTTGTTGTGGAATTTTAGTTGGAAGGAAACTGACCGCTTGGAAAATTATACAGTGCTCGTCCGAACCGGTCACTTCACTCCCATCCCGGCTGGTTGCACGCCCCTGAAGCGCGACCTGAAATCATATATTAGTTCTGGTGTCATTAACCTGGACAAGCCGTCGAATCCATCCAGTCATGAGGTTGTGGCATGGATGAAGAGGATATTGAGGTTCGTTTTTACCTGCTCGTTTTACCTCGAGATGGGGAGGCGAAATGCGAAAAATAAAGCAAGGCGTAAAATTGACAACCTGGATTTTAATTCCACAGAGTTGAGAAAACCGGTCACAGCGGAACCCTCGACCCAAAGGTCACAGGGTGCCTAATTGTCTGTATCGACCGTGCGACGCGCCTCGTCAAATCCCAGCAAGGCGCCGGAAAGGAGTACGTGTGTGTGATCCGTCTGCACGATAAGATCCCCGGCGGAGAAGCGCAGTTTGCCCGCGCCCTCGAGACCCTCACGGGCGCCCTTTTCCAACGCCCGCCCTTGATCTCCGCTGTCAAACGCCAGCTGCGTATCCGCACGATCCACGAAAGCAAGCTATATGAGTTCGACAACGATAGGCATCTGGGCGTGTTCTGGGTGAGCTGTGAGGCGGGTACCTATATTCGGACGCTTTGTGTGCATCTAGGACTGTTGCTGGGTGTTGGTGCGCATATGCAGGAGCTGCGGCGAGTAAGGAGTGGAGCGATGGATGAGAAGGATGGGATGGTGACGCTGCATGATGTGCTTGATGCACAGTGGATGATGGATAATAACCGTGACGAATCGTATCTGCGACGGGTTATCCGGCCGCTGGAGAGCTTGCTTACCTCGTACAAGCGCATTGTAGTTAAGGATAGCGCTGTTAATGCCGTTTGCTATGGTGCTAAGCTTATGATTCCTGGATTGTTGCGGTTTGGTAAGTGGTCATATGGTGGTGTCTTTTTCAAAGATATCAAATTTGCGTGGGAATTTGAAGCTGATAAACTTTTTCCCTATAGAGGCGGGAATTGAAATCCACGAAGAAGTAGTCCTCATGACTACCAAGGGTGAGGCTATTGCCATCGCAATCGCCCAAATGTCGACCGTCGAACTTTCGACGTGCGATCACGGTGTCGTGGCCAAAGTGAAGCGTTGTATCATGGAGCGTGATCTCTACCCGCGCAAATGGGGTCTAGGTCCGGTTGCATTGGAAAAGAAGAAGCTCAAGTCTGATGGCAAACTTGATGTTAGTCTCATTTCCTTTTCCTACGTCCACCTTGACGACTTATACTAACTATTGTCTAGAAATATGGCCGACCAAACGAGAAAACTCCCGCGAAATGGAACGCTGAGTACAAGGATTTCAACGCCCCATTAGCTAGTGCTGCAGGAGATTCTTCTGCTGCTCCTGCTGCCGCCAAGGAATCCGCCCCAGCTCCTCAAGTAAATGGAAGCTCGCCGGCCGCGGAAGAAGATGACGAGAAGAAGCGGAAGCGACGCGAGGGCGAGACTGCCGAGGAGCGGGCCGAACGAAAACGCAGAAAGAAGGAGAAGAAGGAGAAGAAGGAAAAGAAAGAAAGAAGAAAATCGAAACAAGCGGCAAAGAGCGACGATGAGAGCGAGTAAAATGGAGCATGTGAAAAGGAAAGAAAGGATTGTGTCTTGAAGCGGCTTATTACTATTTTCCCCTCCAAACCGATGCTGCTCTCGACACTGACTCGTTATTTTCCTTTTTATTTGATTTTCTTGTATCATATTCGTTTGCTCTGCTCCCTTGCTTAAGTTCTTTGCCTTTCTGGCCTGTTGTTTTGTCTATTTACATTTTTCTTCGCGGAGTTTTTGGGAAAAACTGGAGTTCTGTTTCCTGTTGTCAATTTTTTCTTGTTATCTTCCTGTGAATGTGTTCTGCGAAATGCGATAATTTCTCCAAGGAGTCTACGTGTGAGTGTGTTCAATGTATGTATGTTTGTGTCATCTATTCCATGGCTGGTTATCAGTTTTTGTATTTGGAAATACAAAGAACCAGCTTTATTTCTTGCATATCTCAATATGATGAATGTTATTATCTCTGAATGAAGAGCCTCTCTCCGTTTTGCATTCTGTAATGCGTAACATCAACTAGCAATCGGGGATAATCCAGTGACCCAGCTTGCATGGTCACATGTCCCGTCCTCACCTGGGCAAGTTCTCCAACAAACGTCATTCCATCTCCACCTCCACCTCCGCTGCTGCCACAATGCAAAACAACAAGCGATATCCGATTTACAGATAATATCCGGCATCCCAGCAGCTACAGAAGGAGAAACTCTACCCTCTCTAATTTAACTTCGCCGCAATCGCCCCACGCCCACGCCCGCGGCCACTTCCCCGCCCCTCATGGCTGCGGAGCTTACCTCCATCAAGCTCAACCCAGAGAGCCACCTGCTCCTGGTATATATTAACTCCCGCGACTGCATACTTTACAAAAGTTCCAACATAACTAACAAAAGGAAATAATAAACTACAGGACCAACCTCTCCTCCGCCTCCCTCACGAACTCGCTCGCCGCAACTTCAAATCTGTCCAACGTATCGTCGAGCGGGAACGAGACTATGTCCTCCCATACCTCAAAGAAACAGCCAACGCCTCCCTCTCCGGCAGCCAAGATGCCACCCAAACCCTCTCCGCTCTCGACACCATGATAAACCGCATGCAGGGCCTAAAGCGGAAAATGGAGGCCTTGCAGGACGAGGAGAAGAAGATCCTGACGCAGTCGCGGAAGCGCATCCAGCATCTTGAAGACCTGTATAAGATCCCAAGCCTGGCAGATGTCAAGTATGAGGAGTGGTCGCGAATACGGTTGAACTGGCTATTGGTGGACTATATGCTGCGGTCTGGGTATGTGGATAGCGCAAGGCAGTTAGCGGCTGAGAAGGGGATTGAGGACCTGGTGGATTTGAGCGTGTTTGTGCAGTGTCAGCGGATTGCGGAGAGTTTGGGGCGAGGAGAGACTAAGGAGGCGTTGACGTGGTGTGGGGAGAATAAAGTAGGGTTAAAGAAGATTCAGGTATATTTTTCTCTTCGTCATATTTTCGTTGTCGCTAGCATGCACTCTAGATTGACTTGATGATTAACGGGCGTTTTTGCAGAGTAATCTTGAGTTCGAGCTACGATTACAACAGTACATTGAGATGGTGCGGGCGGGTGATAAAGCTGAAGCGAGACAACATGCCAAAAGGTACTTGTCACCGCATAGCGAGACTCAGGCGAAGGATATTCGACGTGCAGCTGGTCTCCTCGTGTTCTCCCCTGACACAGAAGCGGCACCTTATAAGGTCAGTCTGGAGGAGGAAGAAATTGCATGAACAGCCCCTAATCTCCACCATCAAGGTTTGAAGGTAAAATAAACTAACCCATCCGTCTAGGATATGTACTCATCATCCCGCTGGCAATACCTCTCAGACCTCTTTATCCGAACCCACCACGACCTCCTCGCACTCTCTTCCCGCCCACTTCTCCAGATAGCCCTGTCGGCGGGCCTCTCCGCGCTCAAGACACCATCCTGCCATTCCGCCTACGCATCTTCTAGCTCCAATCCCAATTCCATAACCACATCCGTGTGCCCGATATGTTCGACTGAATTAAACGAGCTGGCGCGCCACATGCCGTACGCGCATCATACCAAAAGTTATGTTGAGAATGATCCCATGGTCTTACCAAATGGACGTATCTACGGGCGCCAAAGGTTACTGGATATGTGTAAGAAGTCAGGCTTTGTGGCACCGGGGAAGATCAAGGATCCGACGACGGGTGAGGAGTTTGACGAGAAGGACATGAAGAAGGTTTATATTTCATAGCATTTTTTGATTTTATATATTCTTTAAGAATTCTGCTTTTTTTACCCGTCCATGGCGTTTTAAGGGAGGGATGGCTGGGAAGGAATGGGATTTCCCCTCTATTTGGAGTTTCACTTATCGCACATATCTCAATACTAGGCACATACTTTTAATAGTTGCTATCATTACATATTTCTACATATATATATAACATCATCGAAGTTATAATTCCCACCATCGCTTCGAAGGCATAGTCATTTCCGGAGATTCTTCACCAAAAATAATATACACCAACATTAAAACCATAACGGCCCAAAGAGCTGAACCCGCTTAATCACTATCATCATCGCTATTCTCCCCACCTCTCCCCTTACCCCCTTTCTTACTTTTCTTCCCGCCAGCAGCACCCGCTCCCCCAACTCCCTCAGCCCCCCTCTTCTCAAAAACATACATCCTCGCCTCCCTATCTTCTCCCCTCCACCCACCCCTCCCAGGACCACCATTCCGCTTCTCGATCTCGCCAATCGTACGCGCATGCGAGTAACCAGGATAACTAGCCCAGGGAAACCGGAAGCTAGTAACGACACGCAAGCCCGCATGGCGCGCCAAGTCGCGGATATTCCAGAGCGTATAAGGTTCCCCTTCGAAGAGGGAGACGAGGATTTGACCTGGGGTTGTGCGTGGGTGTTGTTTCTCTTCCTTCTCAATATCACTGCCGGTGCTAGGTTCGGAATGGGAGTCAGGCCAGTCATCATCGTCATCGTCACACTCATCTCCATCCCCATCATCCCCGTCCTGGGAAGTAGTGGGCAGCACCACCGGCTCTGAAAGGAGCGGTATGCACGCTTTAAAGAACGAGACGAGTAGCTCTTGGTTCGCGCGTACCTGCCGGTTTACATCTGTACTCAAGCCGCCGACGTGAGGGAAGTTGAAGCAGATTATGTCCCAGGGACCGCCGCGGCCGGTATGTTGCTGGTGGTTTTGATGTTGGGGGGAATTAATAGCGTCCTTCCATGGACGGTGATTTTTGTTTTTGCCAGCGGGCAAGGGAGCGGTGGCGCGAGGGAATCCGTTGCGTATAGCCTGGCCTCCGCCGGCAGGTCCGGAGCCTAGTTTACGGGCATCGATGGAGAAGAGGACTTTCGGGACCTGGTTCTTGGCATCTTGTGTCTCTGGGCGCTTTTCTATATCTTGAGTTTTCGGATTCAGATTCTCATCCTTCGCGTCCCGCTCCTCCCTTTCCTCGTTATTGCGATCGTCACTTTCAAAACCTTCAATCTGTTCCCTCTTTCGTTTCAAGATTTTAGACGGCGACGAAGACGTTTCTGAACCACGCGAACATAGCTTCTCAATATGCAACTTTGCCTGTGGATATTTCTCATAAAGTGCCTGCTCAGCATCGTAGCTGGTGGCAAGCAGATTTTTGCAGCCGTAATGCACCGCAAGAGACAGGGCAAATGAGAAATCTCCTGTTTTGGGATGTTAGATATTATTGTCCCTTCAGGCTTGTTTGGAATGGTATATTCGCTGAGGGGAAATATATAAGTACATATATGTACATACATATCAAGCATGCAGATGACAGCACAGAAAAGATATAGGAACGTAGATGTAAAATCCAGAGAGTTGAAACAGGAACAAAAATAGGATAGGATGTAAAGAACGGTGCGCCTCCAGGTGTTGTGCGCAGTGATAGGAATGATACATGCTTGTTTCCCCCAATAGTTTCGAAATATTAGAATACCAGGAGTTTCATACATTTTTTTACTTTTGGGATAAGTTTCCCTCTGCTTCACGCAGAAACAGCATAAAGAAATCGTTCTGAGCTGTCTGACTGATATCTGCAAGTAGACGCTCGAGAAAAAAAGAAAAAAAAAAGCCCTAACCTTCTCCAACCAACAAAATCCGATCTCGCTTCTGAAATGGAATTGTCGGAGGCCGACTCTGTGCATTTGCATTTGCATTTGCATTCGCATTCTTCGAGTTTGGTTTCTCCTTTGCACTCCCGCTCCCCTGGGCATCTTTGAAAGCCGGTGCAGACGTTGAAACTCTCGAGAAGCTTTTCATTTTCTTATGCCCACCGGGGCCAGCACCACCAGCTCTTGAATTGACAGCAGCTGTAGAACTTCTACTTTTGTGTCTATCAAGGTGGTGGAAGTTGGTGATGCGTGGCTTTTTGGACTTGCCCATTTTTGGGATTGATTATCTTGGACGATCACGTTAAATAACAGAGAGAAAGAGAAATAAAAAAATGTGAATATGAAATGCACGAAAATGTGGGATTATCAAGGTTACAAGGTAAGGTAACTTGTTGGATATTTGATTGAGCGTGGTGCGCGTGAAATTGATGGAGGCGGACGTTGCTGGAAGGTTTTGATAGAATCTGAAAAAAAAAAAAAAAAATTGTCCTTTCTCAGCATGGTGAAACAGCAACTTATTTTGTATATATGAAAATCAGAAACTAGATAAGTCACGGATATTCTATAGTTATTTCTCTTGTATTTATTAACTGCGGAGTATTCATTATTCAAATAATCTAATAAATGCTTGAAATGATTTGTTTCGAGGTAGCCTTAATTCAAGTTGTGTGAAGTAACTGACAGTACACAACCCACAATTCAATGAATAAAAGAGAGAAACTAACACCATATTTTCTTTACATGCCCATTGGAAGAAAATAAAATAAATCAACGGAACAGAAGGGAAATCAGCCCGTATTCTTCTCTACCACCCTAGTTATTTATGTATGTACAGGTAAATGTGTGAGGTAATAATAGTAGCAGAAAACAACAGAAAACCCAACAGGCCAGGAGGAAAATAGGCAAGCAAAAAATGCAAGCCTTGCTCAAAATCCTTATCCCACGCGCCTCATGAAGAAATAGACTCTGACTCCAAAAAATTTTGAAAATGAGTTTAAAAGTTGAAGATGGGAAGAATAGAAACGACATGGGTTCGAAACGAGAAAAATATGTTGAAAACAGAGGCCACGAAGGTTTATTATTATAAGTAGGCAAACGGGATTAAAACAATATCGACGAAGTAGAAGGGGAACGGTCAAAAACGAAAATAAAATAGGAAGGGGAAAAAATAGAGGTAACGAGAAAAGGGCAACGAATTTTATATGGTGACCCTTCAGGAGCTCCGCCAATTCAAAACTCGACAGTAAGACCAAGTGATGGAAATATAAAGTGGTTATATATTTCAATAAATCTAATAGAAAAATTCTCCCCTGCTAACAAGAATTCAGGCCATTGCGTCCTGGAT